TTTAGCCGTAAAATTCTCTCGCCTCGGCTAAAAACTTAACCCGTGGTAATTTGCACCCGATACTCGACTTTGGTTGATTTTGGTCGATCGGTAAGGGTTTTGGCCGATAATGAGCGTCCGGTAAGCTTTTTGACCGAGGTTTCTGTCCAGCCGGTACGAGTTTTGGCCGAGAAATTCCTCCAAGCGGTTTTCACCATTTTTGACCCTTTTCTTCACCGTTTTCTTTTCTTCCCCCCCTCCTAAACTTCCAAATGGCTTCCAAAGCACCTGATAAAGACTTCAAAACATGCAAAACTCTTTGGGACCTAATGCAAGCCCTAAATCCTATTTTGATGCCTAAAGACTCAATTTACATGGAAAAACACATGATGAGGACTCTAAAATGCAACTAAATGATGTAAAATATAGACATATCAGCCAAGTATCCAGACTGGCTCGCGAATCCAGTGGTTGTGAAGAAAAAGAACGGCAAATGGCGGGTCTGTGTAGATTTCACTGACCTCAACAAGGAGTGCCCAAAAGACAGTTTCCCTCTACCGCACATCGACCGGCTCGTCGAAGCCACTGCGGGAAATAGGCTGTTAACATTTATGGACGCGTTCTCCGGCTACAATCAGATCCTGATGCATCCTGATGATCGGGAAAAAACGGCATTCATAACTGATCGCGGGATATACTGCTACAAAGTCATGCCGTTCGGGCTCAAAAAACGCAGGAGCGACATATTAACGGCTCGTCAATAAAATGTTTGCGGCACAGCTCAAAAAAACCATGGAGGTATACATCGATGATATGTTAGTCAAATCACTCGAAGAGAAGGACCATGTCGCGCATCTACGAGAATGCTTCGAGCAATTGAACAAACACAACATGAAGCTAAACCCGGCGAAGTGTAGGTTCGCGGTTACCTCGGGAGAATTTCTCGGCTATCTGGTAACTCACCGAGGCATTGAAGCGAATCCCAAACAGATCAAGACATTAATCGAGATGCCCTCTCCAAGGACGAAGCGAGAAGTGCAAAGGCTCACAGGAAGGGTCGCTGCGCTAAACAAGTTTATTTCTCGTTCTACCGACAAGTGCCTACCTTTCTACGACACCCTTCGGGGATACAAGAAATTCGAGTGGGACGAGCGATGCGAAGCAGCTTTCCAAGAATTGAAGAGTTATCTGGCTAGCCCACCGATCTTGGCAAAACCTGTTGAAAGAAGGCCTCTCTTCCTCTACATCGCCGTCTCGGCTACAGCTGTGAGTGGGGTGCTTATCAGAGAAGAACGGTCCGAGCAAAAACCCATTTTCTACGTCAGCTAGACACTGACCGACGCCGAGACCCGCTACCCCCAGATCGAGAAAGTCGCCCTAGCCGTCGTAGTTTCAGCTCGCAAACTGCGTCCATATTTCCAATCACATTTGATTGTTGTGCTCGCTACACTTCCGCTGCGCTCGATCCTACACACTCCGAGCCAATCTGGTTGGCTCGCTAAGTGGGCCATAGAGCTGAGCGAGTACGACATCGAGTATCGGAACAGGTCGTCTGCAAAGTCACAGGTGCTCGCAGATTTTCTCATCGAACTCCCAGCCAAAGCATCTAACGAGCCAACCCCAGACGAGGTATGGATGCTGCACGTCGACGGCTTATCATCTAAACACGGCTCAGGAATAGGAATCCGCCTCACCTCTCCCACAGGAGAGATATTGGAGCAGTCTTTTCGCCTAAACTTCCACACCTCGAACAACGAAGCAGAATACGAAGCACTGATCGCCGGCATACGACTAGCGTAAGGAATCGGAGTTCGAAAGATACGAACCTTTTGCGATTCACAGCTCGTAGCATGTCAATTCAACGGAGAATACGAGGCGAAGGATGGACGAATGGGAGCTTACCTCAAGGTGGTCCGAGAGTTGGTGCAGAAGTTCGATGAGTTTGAGCTCACACGAATACCCTGAGGAGAAAACACCTCGGCTGACGCCTTGGCAGCACTTGCTTCGACCTCAGACCCAGATCTCCGACGGACGATTCCAGTTGAATTCATCGAACGTCCTAGCATCGAAGAGGTAGAAGGAATTGGACTTATAAATCCTCCCGAACAAGAACAAAAGAACGACGAAGCCATCGCTATGGACGAAGACGCCTCACCAGCCGAGCTGGAGTACGGCTGCGACAAAGAATGGCTCGGAGCCATCCGAGTATATATCGCCGTTGGAGAAGTGCCAACCGACAAGTGGGAAGCCCGCAAGTTAAAAGCTCAGGCCGCGCGGTATGTCCTCGTCGATGGCAAGGTGTTTAAATAGATATTCTCAGGACCTCTCATGACATGCGTCGAAGGACCGGAGGCAAGAAAGATCATGCACGAAGTGCACAGCGGCGTGTTTGGAAACCATTCTAGTGGAAGGTCGCTCGCGATCAAGATAAAACGGTACGGTTACTTCTGGCCTACGATGGTCAAGGACTGCGAGAAGTGTCAACGGCACGCTCCGACAATTCATCAACCTACCAAGCTGCTGTCATCAATTTCGTCACCTTATCCTTTCATGAGATGGTCAATGGACATAGTTGGACCTCTACATCGATCAAAGCAGAAGCGCTTTCTGCTCGTCCACACGGATTATTTTTCCAAGTGGGTCGAGGCCGATTCCTACGCAAGCATAAAGGATGTCCAAGTTGAACACTTCGTCTGGAAAAATCATCTGCAGACACGGGGTCCCCTAGAGATAGTCACCGATAACGGATCCCAGTTCATCTCGACGCGCTTTTAAGCTTTCTGCGAGAAATGGAAAATCCGTCTGAGTAAATCTACGCCAAGATACCCTCAAGGGAACGGACAAGCCGAAGCAGCCAACAAGACGATCCTAGATGGTCTGAAAAAGAGGCTCGACGCAAAGAAAGGACGATGAGTAGACGAACTCGAATGAGTCCTTTGGTCTCCTCGAACAACTCCGCGCCGAGCCACCGGAGAAACTCCATTCGCTTTAGTCTACGGAGCGGAATGCGTAATTCCGCCCGAGGTGGATTTCCCGGGTATTCGACGAAGACTTCTACAAGGACAGGAGGGCTTGAATCACTTGATGATGTTGGATGAGCTCGATCTAGTCAATGAAAGGCGCGACCAGGCTCTAATCCGAATCTAGAACTATCAACAAGCAACCGCGAGATACTACAACAAAAATGTACGTAGTCGAAGATTCAAAGAAGGAGAGCTCGTCCTTCGAAAGGTTTTCCAAAACACTGCCGAGAAGAATGCAGGAAAGCTCGGAGCAAACTGGGAAGGTCGTTACAAGATTACAAAAGTAGTTCGCCCAGGAATCTACGAACTCGCGACGGTAGCTGACAAAGCGATTCCAAGATCATGGAATGCAATGCACCTGAAGAAGTACTATCACTAAGGCTACAACACGGTCAACATGAACTACGGGACGGCTTGATCCCTGCAAAGGGTACGTAGGCAGCCCGTCCTCGGACAGGTTCAGCTGTCCCCCTCCTAAAAAGGGGGGGGGAGTGGGTACGTATACACATACCTTCATTTAACACTAAAAAGAGGGGGGGGGAGTGGGTTCAGCTGTCTCTAGAAACATTGCCACTTCAGCCAATTTTCAGTTCATTTTACATCATCTACTTATTTCATGTTCAACTCGGAATTCTAGTTCATTCATTGTCGCTTCAGCTAGTTTATCATTCTTTTTAAATTAGCAACTTATTTCATGTTCGCTTCGGATTTTTAATTTGCTCACTCATCACTTCGGCGGAATATCATACAAGTCATTACAACTTGATCGCCTCGGACCTTTGCTTGTCCTCAATTTCAGTTCAGCAGACTGAGTCTCCAAACGCCTCGTCTCGTTGCTGGCCACAACGGGACAACAAATACAAAGTTCTCTAAACGGACTTTTACCACCTTTCCTAGGACGAGGGTGCAAGTTACATCCTCTACGGATAAAAATCAAGCGCGCTATACAAGTTTCAGACCAAAAACGTATTGGTCGCCACAGTTTACTATCGCACACGAGATTATAAGTCGAGACTACATCGCTTCCTCTAAAACCGAAGTGAACTCTTAAAAAACCCGGCAGAACGTACTCACCCTCTCGGGAACGCCGGTCTATAGTCATACTCCAAAATATTGTATCCTCTTGAACTCTCGCCTCGTCAACGAGAAAACATATAACTTGCTCGAAAAATACTTCGGCGTTAATCGGAGAATTCTTTCTCAAGACAATCTAAAACAGCTCACCTCAATGAGGATCTCTCTCAGTGATAGAATGGACAAATCCCAGCAAGAGTCCCAAAATCACCTTTGGTCGATAAAAACAAAATGCCTCGTCATTGAACACGGCTCGGCGTTTCCAATAAAAGCTGCCTCAGCATTATCGCTTAACACACCTCAGTGTCACCTAAAATGGAGACGCTCCACAAATCAACTCTCAGCTCGGGATCTAGACTAAAACAGAATCCTTAGCCCGGTCTTATATCGGTCTATCGTAAACAGTTCGACCAGGAAAACAGTCGAGATCATTCTCGACACAGCTCGATAAGCCAGTCAACGACAACTCTTTCCAAACAAACAGATTTTGTAAAAATTTTCAGGTTGTCGAGGATAAACACATCAAATCCGAAAACGGCTAAGGAAAAGAAAATATAACCAAAAGCAAAATCAACAGTTAGGTGGATAAAGCCATCCAGGCATCGGTTAAACGAGAAGTTCGAGAAACAGATAAAATCATCCAAAATCTTAAGTACAAAAGCATATGAGATGAGAGATAGGGGAAAGCGGAGAGGATCAAGCCGCGGACTGCGTTTCACGCTCGGCAAGGAGGTTCGAGAGGGCCGGCGTACCCGTATTCGATCCGGTCGGATCTACGACGCCCAAGTTGGCCGCTGTCTCTTCGAGCGGCTCGTTACCAAGGCTGGTGTGTACCGATTCCGACGATACAAGCGAGAAAACCAGCTCACCTCGAATCTTGGAGGCAATGCGCTCGTACCCATCGTCGTCGGAGTACTCGCTCTCCTAGCTCTTTAGCTGCGCCTCCTCATCATCGAGCGTTGGGGCGTTCGGTTTCTTCAGGACGGCAATCATCGCAAGGTTGCCCTTGATTTGCCCCAGCTCGTTCTCGTCGGTTTTGGCCTTCTCGAGCTTGGCCAAGCCTTCCTCTACCTTGGCGAGGCGCTCCTGAAACTTAGCCGTCAGCTCTCGCCTTACTTCCTTCTTCGCATGCTTGACCTTGGCGTTAAACAAGGCATCCTTAGCCGCGATACGCCTTTTGAGCAACGCCACCTCGGCGCTTTTGGCTCTCCTAGCCTCCTCGAGGCGAATAACCGAGGCAGAGACCTTGTCAACATCGGCACGGAGAACTATCTTCTCCTCTTCCAGCCTCGACACCCTAGTCATCGCCTCGTCCAGCTTCCCCTTCGCCTCCGCGGTCTCGTTCCGAGCCTCGTCCAAGCGGAACGATGGCCGTTACAAACTGCGAAGAATGATGCGCGTTAAACACTTAGTGAGAATTCGATAAAATAAGGAGAGCAAACAGAATATACCTTGGTACCGCGCTGCGCCATCGCGCCGTACGACCTCGGCCTCCTCAGCTTCTCAGGAGGAGGAAGACGCGTGTTCGCATTATTAACACGCGCGAACATTACTGCCGAGGCATCAGGGTTGTCGACGACCAGCTTGCGTGCAGCGGGATCACCGGGAGCCGGCTTGCGCTTCTTCTTGTACGGCTCGTCCTTTTGGATAGCAACGCCCTTCCCCTTATCAGCAGCCGAACATTTTCGGCTAGGATCGTGCTTCTGTACAACCGAAGTCGGGGGCCTCGACGACTTCGGAAGAGCCAAAATAGCTGAGTTTGAAGGAGTTTTACTCCGCGCCGCCGAGTCATCTTTGGGCGCCTCGGGAATAATCTCGCCCGGTTCCACCTCGGCCGCTGTTTCTTTGTCGGACGCCTTGGCAACGTTTGCCTCCGCACCTCGGACCGTGCCTTCACCTTCACGGCTCGGCGGATCGGTCTGAGGGATAGCCTCGGTCTTTGTTTGAGTCGCCTCGGCGGCTCGTCTCGCAGCTTCCTCTTCTTCACGTCTTTTCTTGTGTCTAGCAAAGAATTTGAAGAAGAAGAGCTAACAGGAACTCCGGCAAGAATGGCTCGTGCTCTTTCCACTTTCTCGAATGAAAAATGCTTCCTCCAATTAACTCTCTGAGCCGCAAGAGAATCTCGAACAACAAAGAGGTCGTCGGGAATCGGGGGAAAAATGTTCCGAACTGCAAAAACAACAGGGGAACAATCAGCTCGATAAGAAAAGTATATAAAATAAATAGTTCTGAGCCGAGGCGGTTTTGGTTTTATGAACGTAGTCATCTCCAACTGACGCCTCGTTCACCAAGACATAGAAAAAGCGTTCGGTCCAGAACTGATCCTTTCTTGGAAAGCCACCTATAATCCGACGGTTGGACTTGTTGGAAATATAGAATCTATCTCCCTTCGGAGCTTTCTGATTTCCAGCAAGTTCAGCAGGTGATTCAGTTCAATATTGAGCCCGCATTCGAAGCTTCGAACCAAAATGCCGATCATGTGCGGCAGACCCCTCGGCATGATCTGCCCGATTGAAATCCCATGTTTCCAGAGATACTCAAGGATAACGCCGGGGATCGGGAACCAGAGAAAACAAAGCTCGAAGAACGTCTCGTACAGAGTAAAGTGATTCTCAGGAGGTTTGTCGGCTTGGTCAGTCTTCTCTGGAAGGACAAACTTTACCGCCTCGGATATCCCGAAACAACATCTCAATGCCTCGAGTGAGTCAGGGGAGGAGAGCGTAGAGCCGGGCGGGTCAGGTTTTTGCCTTTTCGCCCTTTTCCCTCGCCCAGATGAAGAAGCACCTCGGGACGCCATGAGACGTTCTAATTCACGCTTCGCCTCGAACAGATCAAAGGGAAAAGCTTCTTCCTTGGCTTTCACTGCGGCATGATTAACATCGTCGTCGAGAGCGAGACCCTGAGGGCGGCTCGTCGAAACCGACGACTTGTCATCTAGAGAGCGAGCGCCTGACGGATTCGAACGATTCGACGCCTCGTTGCTTTCGGACGAACGGTGGGAAGGGCTCGGCGAGACAGACGCCTCGGAGGATCCTGATACACCCCTTGATAACTAAGGTTTTTAAATGTCTTAGATGGGTTATCAATCCCCTTGTCAAGGTAGTATAAGGGGTGTCAATCCATATGTGTGGTAGTTAGGCACTAGTTTATAAGACAAGTTCTTAAGTCAAGTGAAACAAGAAAGATTTGGTGACAAGTAACAACTGACAATATAAACAAGAAACAAACAAGCAATGATAAGGAAGTAATTAAAGCAAGCTCAACAAGATGATGGTGATAATAAAGATGATAAAAGCTAAACCTCTAGATGTGATCATTGATTAGGGTGCTTTAGATATTAAATCATGATGCTAAGAACATAATGCAACACTTTAGTCTCGGCTTCTTAATCAGATTAATTCATTCACATGACAATAATCCTTTTGCTAATCACTTAATCAAGTCTAACAACCATTAGATATAATCAAGCAATCAACAAGCATAATGCATCAAGCCTAATAAGTGACCAAACAATCTCTCAACCAAGAAGACTGAATCTTACACAGAAAGACATAGCAAGCAATCACATGATCTCAAACATTTCAACTTAGAACTCTAATCTAGACTAATCCTCTCATGAAGGCATTAATCTCTACACTAATCCACTTTCAAACCAAATCATCATTTGTGAAATATGAATCAATGAGCATTAAGAAACAGTTCTAATATGTCATTCATGCATTTAACAAATCATTCCCATGATGAAAAAGGCATAAACCCTTAAGTTAGCTCATTCAAGCATTTCATCAAACACCTTGTGGGTGGAGAAATGCCTAAGTTCTAGATCAAGCTTATAATGAGAGATCTAGCATTAAGAGCAGCTAACTAAGGAAATGAAATGAGAATCTAGACCCTAAACATCACAAATCAACATCTAAGCACCCTAATCTACACACCTAAAAGCTTAAAAGATGACTACTCACTAATTATGAAGAACACATCTAATCTTTTGCAAGAGATGATGTTAATCATGATTAGAAGCAGAAATGAGATGATGAGATGATAAGAAACAGACTTAGATTGATTAAATCCTTCAGATATATCTTAACAAACTCGTTTTTTGACAAAAGGGGAAAGAAAATTAGAGAGAAACTAAGATAGAAGATAAGATATTAGGGTTTTCTCCAAAAAGCTATATATACTAAGTGCTAATGGACCGGGTCAGCCCAAGACAAACTGGATCCTGACCCGGCCTTGATGGATAGTGGTGTGGTTTGCCACGGTCAGATGATGCTTGGCCAGACCGTGGCAACCTGATAGTGTCAAAGTTCTTGGACAGATTCTTCATGATCAAGGTTGCCATGGCTTGATGACACCATGTATAGTCGCCGTGTCTCTTCTTTTCTGGGTTTGGGTGATGAACTTCTTGGATTTCCACGGTCTAGTAGCTCTTGGTCAAGCCGTGGCAAGTGGTCGTGTGAAACGCCGAAGAAGTGTACAAAGTTGCCACGGCCAAGTCCTAGGCCGTGGCATGGAAACCGTGTCAAGTGCCGAATGTTTGTAAAATCCTTCCCGGCCAAATGTTACTTTGCCACGGTCAAGTGTAGACCGTGGCATGAAGATCGTGTCAAACGCCGAAGGACTGCAATTAAGTGCCACGGTCAGGTGTGGACCGTGGCATTCCATCGTGGCATCTTTCCCTTAGCTCGCATCGTTCAGGGCTCCTCGGACCACTTCGCGTTCAGGGAAGCGTAACTTCTAAGATATTTGTCCGAATTGTGTGCTTCCGGTTTCAGAGGATAGAGGACTCATATATCTTCAACTTTGGTGAAGGAAGCTTCGGTGCTTGGGAAGTGGAAGGTTTCCTGGAGGGCTCATCTTCGCAGTGCATTTACACGATCAGAGAAGAGCGTCTAGACATGTGTCCATTCCGGAGACGTTATCTTCTTTCTCATAGTTTTGAATTTAATGATCTCGGACGTTCTGGAAAGAGGACTCAATTATCTCGGATTCTGATGAAGGCCCTGTAAACTGAATCGGTCTGGAAGTGCACCGTCCTTCACATTCTTCGGAGCTCATCGGCTTGGTCCAAAACGGCAGCAAGACAGGAGTTTCTTCCGAAGAGCTTAACTTTCTACTCACGCTTCCGAATCCTATGAATCCACTTGCTCTGAAACCATGATCCAATCTTCGCCAACTTTGATGAGCCCTCGACAGCTGAATCGGACCGGAAGGTTCCCCGGAGAGGCGATCATTCAGGAGTATCGGATTGCTCCGGAATGGATGCGAGAGAGATCTGTCTTCCGGTGACCTTATCTTTCAGCTCCGTGCTCCAAATGCCCTGATTCAACCTGTCCTGGGTTCGTGACTCAATTATCGCCAACTTAGCTGAAGACCCTGTAAGCTGAATCGGCCGGCAAGAGCTTCCGGTGACGCGATTTCGGAAATGTATCTGCATCCGGGATTTTTGGCCGAGAGACTTGACCGCGGTACGTGTTTTTGGCCGAGAAAGCTACCCGCAGGAAGGATTTTGGCCGAGAATCATCGGCCATCAGTACATCATTTTTCTGAGAAACCCAAAATTGCTCCTTTTCACCATTTTTGATAAGTTCAACTCCATTTCTTCATCTGAATCACATCCTCCACTCCAAATAAACTCCAAAAGCACCTGTTTAACACTCCAAAACATGCAAAACTCTCTTGGACCTAATGCAATCTCCTAAGTCCTAAAACAATGCCTAAAGATCTCAAATGCATGCAAATGAGACATGATTTGGACTAGAATATGTACATTAAATGATGCAATTTATGAATATAACAACTCCCCCACACTTATCCTTTGCTTGTCCTCAAGCAAAAAGAACAAATGAGAGAGAGAGAGGTTGAATGCATTGGGAGTTCATATTTCTTTTTTGAGAGAAGTGATCACAAAGAGAATTCAAGTTCATGCTCAATATGCAATGCAAAACTATACTTTGGTGTATCAACTCAACAGTAATCTCCACAAGTTCTCCTATTCCTCAACTCTTTAACATTCATTAAGCTTTTTACCAAGTGGATCAAATGATGCATTGTTTAAACAAACATAGTTTGGCTAGGGTGAGGTTATGAGACTAAAATGATCTCATCAATGCCTGAGTGGGTTCAATGCAGCAAAAGGATCTCTCTATGAATGACCAAACTTTGGCAGAATGCTAAAGGTAAAAGGCAACCTATGCATACAAGGGCAAGGACTCATCCCACCCCACACTCTACTCAAAGTTTCCTCACTTGCTTACTTTTCACAATCATTCTTCTCTCACTAGGGGATTCTCTTTTCCTTTTCATACACAAGTCTTGGAGTTCAAACTTTCCATAGCTCTTTTTCACTTTCTTTTGTAACCTCTAACCTCTTTTTCTTTCTTTTTAAAACATTTGAGCTCTTTGGCTTCTTTTCTTTTCACTTAGAGGCTAGACTCTTTCTTTTCAAAACACTAGAGCTCACTTTCTTTGACTCAAAACTCCAAGACTGATTTCTTTTCTTTTTCTATCCCCTAGTTCTCACCATTCTCCTTTTATTTCCACTCATCTCTCCTTTTTCCACTCACCAACAAGTATTCCCCCACACTTAGTTCTTGCCAAATCTCTCAGCTCCTTGATGATGGAACTTAGCACTCAATGAGACTTGCCCTTGTGGCCCTAAACCTAACACTTTCTGCTAAGTTTGGTCCAAGGTGGCCTCTCAATCACACACAAACAATTGGCTTGAAAGAAGGATGGGTTCAGGGTGAGAAAAACTGATCTATTATGCAGATTCAGCTATTTGAGCTAAGGAAGAGGATGGTAAAAACAGGATTCTAGCTCAAATATGTATATTGGTATCCACAAGCTTATTCAAACAATGCACCAAATGATAATTTCAAGTCAAGTTCAGGGTTTTCACTTATTAGAGTTGAGTTCAATTCAAACTTGCTTCTCAGATTCAAATCATTTCAAGCCTTGCAAGCACAAAAATCATTTCACAAGCATATTTGGTACAAATTTTCAAAGTGATGTACTCTCAAGGAAAAACTATCATTACTCCCAGAAAGATGCAACCTATATGATGCAAACTAGACTCAATCCTAAAAAATGTGAATGCAACTACATGATCATTTTTTGTGATTTGTTTTTTGATTTTTCAATTTTTTTGGTTTTTATATGCACTTAGATGCAAACTCAAGATGCAAATCAAACTAAGAACAAGAGAAAACATGATTAGTAAACACAAAACCCCTCCCCCACACTTAAATAACACAGTCCCTTGTGTTATAAAAGCATAAGAGAGGAGTGAAAGGCAAAAGCAAGAAAGATGCAAAATGAGAAATAAAGAACTAGATGCATATGTACAAGGAGTTTGGAGTGTTACCAGATTGGTTTTTGATGGAATGGAGGCATTGGAATTGTGAATCTCAGGGGGCTAAACATCACTGGAGGTGTCCTAGTTTTGATGCTGCTCCTTGCACTGATCTGAGCGTGCTTGTAGTGAGGGCTGGAGCTCGTTTTTGTGCATTGTTCCTCTTGCCACCCCCTGTTGCCACGGTCTGGAAGCTCCTCTGGACAGCCCGTGTCATTCTTTTGTTCTTCCTCTAACACATTGCCACGGCTTAGATGTGACCATGGCAAAGAGACCATGGCAAAAGCCGAAGGTTCTGCTGCCTTAAAACATGTTGCCACACCTTGAATCTACCAGTGGCATTCCTCTCGTGACAAAAGCCGAATGGTGGTCTATTCAAAATTCAACTTGCCATGGTTCAATTCTGGGCGTGGCAATCTCCCCATGGCAATCACCGAAGGTTGGCATCCAAGAAAAAGCCTCATGCCACGCCTGGGTCAAGCAGTGATTCATGGCCATGGCAAACTGTGAACTTAGCCAAATTTTGCATTTCCTTGCATCTTGTCCACCATTCCTTGAGGATAAGACTTTTTAGGGTCTCAGGGCTATCAATCCCCTTGTCAATGTAGCATAAAGAGGTTTATCAATCCAGATGTGGTGTTAGACACTAAGCTATATGATCAAGTTCTTAATTCAAGCAAACAAGAGTGGGTTTTGAT